AAAAGTGAAAAATATTTACGAGTTTTTGTAGAAAAGGCATCGATTCGGGGTGCTATTTACATATGCACTCTTTGACACTCTCCCATCTAGCTAGCTGACTGCATTAACGAACGGAATGTCCCTACGTCTTTTCAGGCAGCGGAAAACTTGCGATATTTTTCATTCAATGGATGTGAAATGGTAGATCCTTTCTCACATTTATATTCATCCCGAATGGGCATTAGTTTTTGTTTGCCTTTGTCTTAGCCATATGAAAAGAAATTGGCACCCCGGCAGGGAGTTGTTTGTTGGTCAGAACCGGGAAAGTTTCTCTTTTTGTTTTAGGGCTGGGAAAGTCTGGCGCCCAAGTGCAATTTGTCAGGCTCGTGACTGGCTGATGGTGGAAGTACGAGAGAAGGTTGAGAAAATGCTGCGAATTGCTAGCTCCGGAATTGAGAATCCGGCAGTGGGAAAAGCACCTCGCTCCATCTTGGCTCGCTTCATTTGTTGGCTTAAGTAACTTAACAACTTTACGCTTGCAACTCGCGTACGCGACTCCTTCGGCGACGTCCTCTTGTTTATATTGATAATGTGCCATTTATTTTATTTAAGGCATGCGCTAGCTTGGATCGCCCGCTCGATTTGCAGTCACGTTCTGGCCAAAAGGAGTAGCACACCAGCAACGGCGACAGGACGAATGAATTGTGTAGGTTTCACCAACTGCGAAATGGCAGTGGCACACACACACATGTGATTGGGTGTGTGTTCGAGTGTGGCTATGTGCTCTATGTGCAAGGACATGCCACAACTTGCTGTTGCATAATGCATTAAGTGCTGGTGGGCGAAATATCCTGGGTGGCAGTGGTGGCAGGCACCGGGAGTTGCTCTGCTGAGTTATTGACTTGAAGTTTGTTGCGGAATTTCCAAGTGCAACGTGTGTAAGGCATAACAAATTAGGCGCGCCAGGCAGCAGAATGTTGCAGCATTCCGAAAATGGTAGCTGGGGAGGGGTATAATGTGAATGTGGTGGGGCAGGCACATATAATGGCAGGTGAGGGGGCAGCACGCACACTGCACTGCACTTGAAACTGATTTCGGTGATGCCTTAAGGCAACGAGGGATTTATGCAGTCTTAGGGTTACTCACAAGATGTTGACAAAACTAGAAGGGGATCTTGGAAATCAAGTGAAAAGTATCTTTAAGGTTGCTAAAGTATATCTGTACTTTAGAATTCCATGGCATCTATAAAAACTTCCCACCAATTACCGAAAAACACTTCTGTTTTTGGCTATTCGCATTTTCAATTGATTCAATGACAACCGCAAAGTTTTCGCTCTTTTCTCTACATTTCCATTCTTTTCTTTCCCTTCGTTCATCATTTATTTGGAGCAACTATTGATGATTCTTCTCCTCTTTCGCTTCCACTCATTGCTGTCCGCTCTATTTCCCATTTTCTGGGAAGTTTTATTCAAATTGGATTTCCTCCTCTCTTTTTTTTCTTTTGCATGATTTTGGTTTATTTTGTACATTAAGTTGCTCTTGCCATTCATTTCGGCTCGGCTGCTTATTATTATTATCGATTTCAGTGCTGGCCAGCAATTTTTCATGGCAAATTGCAGAAGCGAAGGCAGCGGCGAAAAAATAGATAATGGAATTAAAAATAATTGGATGACATTGAATATATATATATATATATATGTATGGGTGAGGGAGCAGAATCAGAGAGCCGGCCAAAGTTGATTTCTGTTTTTTGTTTTTTTTGTCAGCCAGTTCCTGTTGTCTTTAAAATTTAATTACCAAAGTATTTCCGAAGCGGCTCGAGGCGGACCGGAAATTCAAGCGTCAACTACAAAATTGGTATAAACAACGGCGAAGCCCCGAAGGGAGGGGCAAGGAGTGATGATGTCAAAGTGGCCAGCTTTGTTCTGCAACCTTCTATCTCACTCTTTTGCTCTCTACCTCTCCCTCTCTCTCTCTCTCTCATACTTTTTTGAGCGGAAGAGTTGCCATTTTCATTTTCTTTTGCGGAGCGCCATTTTCTTTCATTCTTTTCGACCATAATTTGCATGGCATGGGAACTTGACTTTTGTTGGCACGCCCCGAAAAAGGGGCGAAGGGAAAGCTGGCGCGAGAAATATGTTGCAGCGGCAGTGTTGTTGGGGAATATAATAGAAAAATAAGGTGCCACACAATATGGCCGAGAGCTTTACAGTTGGTTAAGTAGCAAAAGCGCGCGAAGCGGCTAAAGGACGCCGGATAAAGTGCCACCAGGCAGGCGGCAAGCAGCGGGCAGAGAGAGAGAGAGAGAGAGAAAAAAACACCTCGGTGAGAAGGAGTTTTTCCAGAGCGTTGGCCATCGCCAACACAGCGCCAGAGCATGGCGTGAAAATTGTGTTGACAAGAAAATTATAAACCGGAAAATGTTTTATGTTGTGGCTATGCGATTTTCTTCCTTTTTTTTTTTTTGCTACCCATTCTTATTCCCTCTCACTTTCACAGCAGCACAGCAGCCGCCATCTCACTCCTCATTTACTATCCTTCTCGTTTGCTCTGGGTCGCTTCCCGAGTGGCTTTTAAAGTTTCAGCTGGCTGGCTCATTGTGGTCAAATTAAATTGAGGGGAAATTACCAATGAAATGATGCCAATTTGCTGAAAGGGTCAGAGGTCACTAAGCGAAAAAGCGAAACGCTTGGCTGAACTAAAAGGCAAATAAGATGGCAAAAATATTTTTTTTCGGAACATTTTTGCAAAAACTAAAAATAGTCAAAGAGGAATATTTTATATTGGATTATGTAATTTTATATAAAATAACTTTTAAAGTTGGAAATATCCCCTCTAAACCCCTGACATTGACCTAGTTTTCGCATAGAACTCAGCTTAAACTTTTTCTTTGTGGCGAAAATGGCATTTAAAAGTCTACAAAGCGGCAACCTAGCAATAAATTAGTGTCGCGGCCACTGAGAGAAAAAAAAGTTTAAACACAGAGCAAGGTACATGTGTACACACATACAATCACAGGAGGCGTACATAGGCCTTTCGTCCTCGAACTGGCGGCCGAGTATATGTATATATTATGTGCTGGTTACTTGCCACGTTTAAGTTCGTTAAACATTTAAGCCCAGCTCGTTTTGTGTGTCAAGCACACACACACACACACATACTTGTACAGTGTATATACACATACATACACACTCATATAGATGAAAACTCGTTGGGGACAAAAAGAGGTGAAAATGAGTGCAAACACACTCGCCTACAATTACAGCACTCAAAAGGGGGGCGAGAAGAACAACAGGGCATGGAAAATGGGAAAAATGCGGAGATGAATGGTGGTGGCTGCTGAGGGAAAAACGCTTGGCGAACGAAATTGCTCGGCAACTTTACTGCATAGTTAATTAATAGGATAACACAATTAATTTGTGGGCAATGAATGTCTGAGCTTTATTTGCCCGCCCAGCCAGGCAAAAACTACAAGTGCCCAAGGGTCACTGGGTACGTGGGTATACTAGTATGTGCGCGTGTCCTTTCCATTTCCAACTTGCAGCTGCTGCGCCCCCACACACAGATGATGTGGATTCTATAGTCCAGAACTCGCTTATCACGCAGCTGTGGTTTCGGATAATTGCCAAAAGGCTTATGAGATTCCCAAAGCCATGGCAGGCTGAAACTAGCCAAGGCACCGAAAAGCTGACCAAGGCTTTCTAATGATCCATCAAAGATAATTGGAAATGTTTTCGGGGCTAGTCTAGATTAATGATGAAAGTCAAATATTGTTTGCAGAACTTGACCGTATTATGAATATTTAATAAACATTCAAATTTGACACGTTTGAGATTAAATCATAAATGGATATTAACTATTGTTGTGGTCAATCAGAAACCAGAAGTTAAAAGCTTTTTTAGGGAACTAAGAAGAGTTATTAATGCCTAAAAGTTTTCTATTCCTAATTAAAGGGCCTGCAGGACTAGCAAGAATAGTAATAACAAACTTGTTAGCTTTAAATATATACCAAAAATAATAATAATATCAAATAAATATTCCGATAAGTCCAATAAATTAGACAGGTTTGAGTTTTCCCAGGAACAAAGTAGATTTTAGAAGAGTATCCCTAATACATTCATTGGGGCCCACACCCAAAACGTAAACAGGAGGGAAAATGGAAGGACCATTCAGTAGCTCAATTAACAAAGCCTCCCAGTTGAAAAAAAAACACTGCGAGCCAACGAGCTACTTACTTACAAACATCAGTTTTAACTATTGTTTGCACACTCGACGACTCAAGAGCGACAGAATGAAATGGTTTGGGCGGGCAGAGGGGGCGGGACTCTAGGGAAAAAAGGACGAACTATGGCCAACTTTAAGGACTGAGTCGCTGCTTTGGGTTTGGGTTTTGTTGGAATAACAAAAGGCCGTTGGCCAAACAGGCTGCCACCTAAAGCGACGCCTAAAAAGCGGCAACGAAAAATTTTCAAAACCTAATTTTTTATGCTGTCACAAATTTTGATGGTCTTGGTAAGATGGCAGGAGCTCCTGCTGCTGATGATGATGGCATTTTGTCAGCATTATATACTATACATAAAATACTCCACTTTATGTTGCCATTCTTTTGGCAGATTGTTTGTTTTGTTGCGGGCAAAAAAGATCTATATATAAAGGAAAAACAAGAAACAAAAGCTTAATAAAGAAAACACCAAACAGGCAACTTAATTTTTTCCTCGCCGTTGTTTCGACATTGTTCTGCAGTGTTAAAAGAGCTGCTTTCACCCTTTTGTTTCGCCCCCTGCTAATTTGCCACGTTGCCTTTTTTCCGTAGAAATAAGAAAAAAAAAACTTCAGGGAACATAGAAATCTCCTCTTTGCCTTTGATTTTATCTGCCCTTCGGCAGGTTGCTTGTGTCAGGTTACAAATTTAAGATATTAACAAAGTGATCAATGGAATCGGTTTAAGGAAGGTAAAGGAAAAAACAAAGGGTTGTTCTTAAAGCTAAAAACTTAACTTAATAATTGAATTTGAGTTTTACCTTGAAGTTGTCCATGTCTAAGAGTTGAGCAGCCTAAAAATCACTCGCAAGGTGATAAACGATTTCAGTTTAGTTGATTTTTTTAGAGAACGTTTTTATAGTTTATAGTTAACACAGAGAAAATATTAAATTTGTTGTTTTAGTTTAACCAATTAATCACCTATTTTTCTCTATGTTTTTTTTTTTACTAAGTTTTGATAGGGGGGTTCGATGGGTGGTGGAACTCTCTTATTTGTAAGCCAAAAGCTAAAGCCTTCTACTCAAGGACCCAAGACTCAAGCCTCAAGCACACTCACGCACACAATTCTCAAGCTCAGCTCGGCGCTTCAGCTGCATTTATTTAATATTTATATATATATATAGTTTAGGCACTTAGAGAGACAGCCACTAAATATATAGTGTGTATTTAAGATAATTATATATGTATATATAGAAGCACAGAGATACCAAAAACGAAAATGGAGTTTATAAAAGCACAAAAGCACAAACAACAAAAGCGAGACAAGATCAGTTTTCGCTGAGGCCCTAATTTGGGGATATCATTATCTTTTTCGTTTCTTTCTTTTTTTGTGGGATGAAAAATTATAAGACTTAAAGCTTACGGTCTACAAGTCACACGAAGCAATAGAAGGTGGTGGTAGGATTTTTTTTTTAAGGATTTCGTAGGGGGTAGAGGGATTTTCTGTTTTTCTCGTTAGAAGGAATACTGACCTTGATGCTGTCGTAGCAGGCGGTGACCTTGCCGTTCTGGACCTCCACGTTGGCCGGGGGATGGGCGAACTTGCACTCGGTGTCCTGGCGCGAACATTTGTTGCGCTGAAACTCACGGCAGACCTCCAGTTGCAACCAGCGCGAGTCCTTGCCGTTCAGCAGGCTGTTCATATTGACAACGTTGGCCATCGTGTTTTTGTTTTTGTTTTGTGTTTTTTTTTTTTTTCGGGAGGGTTATAGATATATATAACTATATATATATGCTGTTTACGGATCTGGGTTAGCTGGAGTTTATATAGAGTTTAGCCTAGCGACTAGAGAAAGTTTTTTGTTTTGTTTTTGCTTTTTCTTAGTTTTACTCCTCTCGCGACACGCACACACAAAGAACACTAAATTCAACAGCACAGATCAGCACCTATATATGTATATAGCATAGATCTATAGATGGTATATGATTTCAGTTTCTTTTTTAGTTTTTTTTATATTGATTTTTGTTCTTTAGCGTTTTTGTGGAGTACAAAGCTTGCGGGGATATAGCTGATAGCTTGGGGCTATATAATTTTGATTCAAATCGAACGCCTATTTAAATATTATAGATGTGTGTGTGTGTTTTATTAAATATATATCTATAGATAGACGCAGCTGTTAAATTTTTGTATATTTTATATATTTTTACTGCTCTTTTTTTTCTGAGTGTGTAAGCTGATTTTACATTATCTGAAATGAGAGTAAAAGAGAGAAATAGAACTTTAGGATCATACCGACTTGGTGTTACATTCCAAGAGAGATAAATAGAAATGGCGAAAGACAGAGACAGATCATAGAGAGAGATAGAGAGAGAGAGACAGAGAGCGATTCTAGGTATAAATGTGTGTGTGTGTGATGTGTGGAAGGAAACTGATCATGTTTTAGATTTCGATTTAGACTTTCGAGGGTTAGTAATGCGCAAATCGTTTTGTGTTATGGTTTCTTATGCAGAATGCAATGCTCAAATGATAAGATATATAGTAAACAAAAGACAATCGACAATCGACAGACATAACCATATCACTAAAAAGTATTTAATATATAGATACCTAGACTAAATGAGCGGATGAATGGTGTGTGCAAAATAAAAGTTCTCGTTTTCATACAACTTATGAATAGTCACTAAAAATAGTTCACCAGATATATATATATACGAAAAATAAATATATATATATATATATATCTGGTTATAGATATTATATAGAGCGTGTGAGCAGCGTCCAGTTTGCAGCAGCAGTTTCTGGAGGGGTTTCGCGGGGGGTATCCATGAGCCAAGACAGCCAAGAGCCACAGCCAGAGAGCCAAAATAGCCAAATAGCCAAATTAAGCCTAGCCCCTAAGGCAACTCAGCGCAATGCACATAGACCAAATAAAAAGTTAATACTACGAATAAATATTATCAACTAAAGTGCACTAATATTTCGCTGAGATATACGTTTATATATATATAGTCATGTATCTTCAGGCCCGGCCCAGCGGTGTTTAGCAATTTAAGTTGAAATTGATTTTTTTTTCTTATTTTTTTTTTTTTTTGTTGATCATTTAGCTAAGCAACATTTAAGAGAGGGACACCGCCTGAGAGAGATTCGCAACTCTTACTTATATATCTTATATATTCACTTTTTAGCACATTTCTTTTTATAGCAATGGAAAATAAATTGTTAAACGCACTTACCGCTTCAATAGAAATATTTTCTATTTTACGATTAATCAAATACTGTAAAAAAAATGTATATATTTATATAAAGAGAAAGAGAGAGAAAGAGAGAAAGAGAAATGCATGTTAGTTAACTTAGAGAGGAGCAAAAATAAACTTCGAAAATCTGTAAATGATTCAATCATCGATGACGGCACACAATTTGATATTTATATTTTGTTGTTATTAGCATTTGAGTTAGCCTGTTTATTTGTTTGTTTGTTTGTTGGCCTTCCTTCCCCTTCCCCTTCCCAACCCCCCTTTGCATTGTTTGTTTTTTTTATTTGCCAAACTGTTGCAATATTGTTGTTGCCCCGCTTGGGTGTGTGTTTGTATGTGTCTTTAATCTTATCTTATCGATGGTCGAGCGGCATATGAATCAAAGTTTTTCGAAAACGAAATCTATTAAAGCTTTTTCAACGCTTCTGGTTTTTGTTTTTCTTTTTTTTTCTAGTGGGTTTGGCCCTGTGAAAAATCCATTTGGGAGTGACGAACTGATTTTGCAATGGAAATTACTTCAAGTTTAGGCTAAATGAATGGCTAAATGAGGTGAAATATATTAGTTTTGTGTTTTTTTGTTATGAATAACTTAAGTTTTCTCACTTTTGATTTTTGTACTGCAAACTAATCCCTTTCTCTACATATAAAACCCAAACTTTTCCCCATTTTCAATTAGCTTTTACCCTAAAAAATATTTCCTATCTAACTTTTGGCATTTCGAAAGATATCGCAACGCCAGGCCGGCAGTAAATTATCTCAGCCAAGTCAATTTGGTAAGATACCACAGCGAAGACAATTAATGAACTTTATAGAGTACACCAACACACACTAAGACACTCACACACGCACACCTAGAGAACTCATATGCTATCTAGTTTTTTTTGTTAGTATAAAGATTTGTGGATACGTCCGCATGATGTCAGCTGCAAATTGCTTTTCCGTATTTTAACTTGATTTCCAAAGATATAAATTGTGACTTAATTTATGAGCTGAGAAATTGAAGCCCCCCTGTCTATGTATATGTATGTGTGCGTGGGCTAATGTTTATGGCATGTATTAAAATAATTCTTGAAAACTTTTTCGGCTAAAACAGAAAATCTCAACGAAGAACACACGCAAGACATATAAGATGGGGGGGACGCCCACACAAGCGGACGTGGCTAGGGAACACATCAGGCTATATAGAATATATATATATATATAGAGAAGACAGACATTATAGCCAACAGATACATTTACAAATACCGAAATCGAAACAGCGTCAGAAATTAGCAGCCGTGTCATTGACGCAGTATGAAAAATTTATGACCAGAAGCGGCTGTGTGTGGAAATTAGAAAAAAGAAAATGTGCTGCACGAAAATAAACTTTCCAATAGTGTTTAGATGTGAAATTGGGCCAAGAATAATCGAAGGTTCTCCTGCCAGAGCGGATATATACGAAAATCTGTATACAGATTTGGTGCATCCGCCGACCTACAAACAACCTTCAGACTCTGCTTTCAGATCTAAGGACACTCGCATCTCGACGGCTTTTTGGGGGTTATTAAAAAATCATTAAGAGAAGATAAAAACAGCAACAACAACAACAACAAAATAAGCTTATAAAACTGACGGACAAAAAACGATGCAAATTGATGTAGACCCAGACTCCGAAGACAAACAAGTTCAACAAGTTTTGTCCGTAGGTTTTGTTTTCTTTCTTACTGGTTTTTGGGTCTCATATCAAAAAGTGTGTTTTGAAGGTTAAACTTGCCGAAAAATGAAAAAAAGAAAAAAAAAACCGATTTGAGAATGGGAGAAACCAGCAGTTAGGTGGAGAGAGTGAAGATCGAAAAACTGTTAATTTTGTTTTAACGCGTTTAACGCAAGTCCACTAAATATTTGTTCACATTCGCAAGAGCTATTGTTTATGTCAGCTGAGTCAACATCAAAAATAAAAAACAGCTGTGCTGGCAAAAGAACTTTTTTTTTTGGGGATAATTCTAATTGCATCTGGAATTGGTTTAACAGTTTTTTCTATAATTTCTGTAAAGGGAATTTCAGTTCTGGGTATAAAAAAAAACCTTATCTAGAATTTGGTGTTTAGTCTCTTGGGAAACCATCGATGGTTATGGTTAGCATAAGCCCAAAAAATGTATAAATTCTGACTCACTGTTTTATCTTGGATATTAATTTATAGGAAATATTATGGGTTGCCTTATCGATAAGGCTAAACTATGTGAAATTCTTATTTAAATTACTTTTTGTTTTGTAATTTATTACTCAAACTTCATAAGACTAACTAACTGATTAGATTATCACTTTAAAATCTGGCCATTAAAAGCAGTTTAACTACGAAATCAGCTGTTAACAAATTTATTAACTAGACCATAATTTATGGTTACTTTTTGTAGTTTAATTTTCATTTTGCTGCCCTTCGATTACTCATTTTATCTATTCATGCCACCGCCATCAATTAACAGTTCTTCATAACTTATCCAGCCAGCCCCCTTACCAGCATACATTCCCCCTATATTACGTATATATATATACGGAAAGATATATATATATAGCAACCAAATCGAGAGCGTTCTGCTGATAAGGCGGCAAACACAACAAATAGAACGCTGCAGTTCACAGTTGGCTGTGAAAGCGCATTGTATATTTTGTATTTTGTACTTTTTTTTTTAGATATGCCACCTATATATATATCTATATATATTGTATATATACTGTATATAGCAACTTGAGCACCCGCTGACTGGCAAAGCCCGTGAGCTAGCCAAAGTTATGACTAAAGCCATACACAAACACGCAAGTCGCTTGTTGCAAATACCTTAGAGGGCCAAAAAACAAAAGCAAAAGGCAGACTTTTTCCTTGCTACCCGCAGGCGACAAGTTAATGCATTTAAAGAAACATTTACGCAAGCGAAGCCGTAGCAAGACATCGGTCACTAACCGCTCTTTGCAACATTATACAACGCTCCGCTACAAAAACAAAAACCTAAGGCCCACCCCAAAGGTATGACACATATATTTAACGATGCGCTCATATAAAAACTAAAGAAAAAAAAACATTAAAAAGTGAAAGAAATGGGTAGGTTAGCGAGAAAACTCGGTTCGACGGCTGCTATCAATAAGCGAGATTAGATAAAAAAAGAGAAGGTGAACCCTAGGCACCCACACGCCTTAGTTGCAAAAATAAAAAAAAAAAAGAGCATATGGAAAACGATAGTAAAAGCAAAGCTCTTTTTTTATACTTGACAAACAGCGTAGTCACTAAGGCAACAACCGCTGATTACAAGAATCATTTGAAATGTCAACTAATGTTGTATTTCATAAATTGCAATTGCAATTTCGAGAGCAGGAAAACATTTCCAACTACAACAACGAACCATAACAGAAAAGAGCCATCAAAAGATGGTAAGACTTAAATGTCAGCCATAAATGGCAAAGCGGTTAAATGATCGGTTAGCTTTGGCTTATGTCATTCAGGTGGGTCGAAAGATAAAAACCCATGACGGATCTATTTTATTCTTATTTTAGCCAAAACAGAAATCCAAGAAAAAACTGCTCCAAAAATGGAGTTTTGACTTGGTTAATTAATTCCCATTGTCATCCGTCTGACTTGGCTAATTCATTTGGCAGTACATCATGATGCGTGGGCGGCAAAAGTTGATTATTTCTTTGCCTAAAACTTTTGTAGAGAGACACATCGTTGACTGATTTCATTGACGGCTATTAGCGTTTTTTCATCTTCTTTTTTTTTTGTGAAAGTTGGTCTTTAGATAAAAATAAATGCATTCATATACACATTGGGTTGTCCCTTTTTTGGCAGAGCTTTCGAATAGGTGCTGAAAAGATCTGGGGATCGATCTATATATGGTCATGTCGATATGACTAATGGGAAAGCGGAAGAAAACAAAGCGTGCCGAAAGCGTAAATAAATGAATTTGCCAGGGAAGAGCTATCAAATATCGTATATAGGGGTTTGAACTGGGTATTATACAGATCT